GCGGCTGCGGGGGGGTTACAGCAAGCTCCACCGGAGAGGAGATAAAGAAGAGAGTAAAGAAATAGACTTAAAAAAACCCACAAACCCAAAACCCAAACCAACACCCCTTCTGTTGGATATCTCCCTCTCGGCTCCAGAGGAGAGGTGGAACAGCCTGTTTGTCGGGCACTACGGGTTCATCGAAGCAGAACGCAAAGCCCCCTGCTCTTGCAGGAATGGCGCTGACCCGATAGCTTTGGGGGAAGCCTCACCGTGCTGGGGAGAGAATGCCTCGTTCGTGCCAGAACAAATACCCTGAGACTTAAAACGCTTCTGAGAGCTTGGAAGATGGCAAAGTAGGGCTTGAACTTTCACATGCTGGGTAGGAGCGCTGCTGCAGCGATACAGGAGCCCTTGGGGAAGTGTGGCCGCTCCAGCTGACAGAGCATGAGAAGTAATGCTTAACAAGGAGAGGAGGTTGCTACCTACGTCACTTTCCCTGCTAAAGTGAAGCACTCTTCCTGAAACCTTTTGTTTGTTTTTTTTTTTTTTTAAACCAAAATCAGAGTACCTTCCAATGATCCATAAATAAAAAAGAAAATAACGGTACTAAGCTGAATTGCACTGAATATATCTAAATGAACTTATTCTGAAAATGGAGTTACAGTTGTACGTTAATGCTATACCAATAGTTGTTGATATACAAACACAGACTGAAAAGACACTTTGTGTCCCAGATGGCTTATCTAGGTCTGAGCTGTCACATGTAAGTTATCTACTGCTCTCTGCTCTGTGTGTGTTCTAGGCCACCCAACAACTAAAACCACGTTTCCTTGTTCGTTTCCTTGTTCTGAACCCCTGATACTGCAAGTCTTAGGCTTGTCAAACCCTAAAACGTTTGCATTTGTTAATAAATGTTTGTTGGAAGATAAGTTTAGTTCTATTTCTTGGGGGGGGAGCAGGAATATGGGTGATAAAATACAGATCATCCCACTGTTAGTGGAGTCAAAGTTTAATTAAAATTTTTTTTAATTATGGAAGGCATGAAGAGGCTGCGGATTTTATATCCTGAGATGCTTGGGATTGATAGTTCATAATCAGGTGAACTCTTAAGATGTGCATGGAGAATGCTCAAGATGAATGTGGTGTTAAACTGAAGATGCTGAGTTCCACAGATCACAGACCTTATCTATGCCCTCATTACACACTTTGAAGTGCTTTTTAAGTAATACCAACACCAGTTCTTGTCTCTGTAGTAGTTCCGTAACTCTGAGGAATTATACTGTAGGCAGCCTGTTCGTGACCAGTGCCATGAACACAAGTTGGTTACACTTGTTTAGAACAATGAGCTGCTAAAAAGAATAGTGATGGTCTGTCTGCAGTAGAGTTCCCAGGCTTGCTAGTGCTGGTGGAGAGTCCTAAATCTGAGAACTGATGCTACAGAAATATCTTAGGATCTAGTCTAAGGATATGATCCTGTAAATACTATGGGTCTAATGCTACCTAGTATGAGAACTCTTAAAGCACCAGATTTCATGGTAAATAAACATTATTACCAAATAATGATTTTTGTGCAGAATCAGAACTTACATGTAGGCTGGCTTACTACTTTCATAATCCTGAGCCTTGGTAGCAGGTTGAGTAGTCATCAGCATTTAGCTGATTCTAAGCATTGTGCCTGCCCTTTGCCTCCATTTTGGAAGAGGAAAACTGGGGTCACAACTATTAATTGTACCAGCTCTTTGATGGGAACACCACAGTGAAATGGTGTTGGGCAGCTCAGGTGTTGCAAAATGAAATAGGTTTGTTTCCTGGGGGTGGGAAACCTGAAAAACCCAAAACAAACCACCAGACAAATAAACAAAAAAAAAAAACACACAACAAAAAAAACCCCTCTGAACCCCTGCCAACAAACAAGCCCCCGAACCCCTGAAAAACCAAACAATACTGAAGGAACTATATGTCCCCTCAGTATTATCAAATCTCACCTTTGTTGCCTTTTCACCACCATACCCAGTCACTAATACTGGTTTTCTTTGGATGCTATGTATCTTTTAGAATGCATCTACACTAAACACTTATGCCTGGATGGGAGGCAAATACACTTGGAAATTTATGACCCGTGTTCACAGGTAAGAATTCTGGGGGGCAAAGAAAGACTGTCGGGTGGGTTACAAACTTTCTGTCTGTTCTTGGAATTTATGCGTGATGATTTTTTTGAAAAGACTGAAATTTTATAGTTGCTATAGCTCAGAAATGTGAAGCACTTTCCCATTTCATGGAAGAAGCCCTTCATTGCTTAAATTTTCTGTAAATGCTTTTGAATTTTGGAATATTACTAACAGAAATAACTTTCCCCAATTCTGCATTATATAAGTAAATACAGAGATAAATTGTGGGGTTATAGGTAGTTTTCTCCAATACCCTAAATGGATGAAATTTAGTTTTATAAAGCAAGCAGTTTATTAAATGTCTGCAGAAGTGGACAGTGTAGACAGGCCTGGAAGCAAGACTTGCATTCACAGAACAGATCCAAGGAAAGCCATAATGCAGGCTTGTATGTGTTAACAGCTGAACTTTGATCACAATAAACTGCTCTGGAATAAAGTTTTTTGTATTAATTGCTTTCTTGCTATCACAGGAGTAGAGAAACTTGGTACTGTGTAACGCATGCAGACCTACGTAGGTCTGTCTGGATAATCGCATTAGCTCGCAACGTTTCCTTTTGAGGAGTGATCTTGCTGCTTACCAACTAGGATAATGAATGCTAATGCTAAAGCCAAAGCACTGGAAGTCTGACCCAGACTTAAATTGAAGGACTTACAAACTTAACTTAATGAGCACGTAAAATGAACCACCAAACAAATCTGCCTTCCTAGAGATGAGCAACAGCATTGCTTATCCCAGTGCAGTGAGGATCCTGAAATAGCCACTGTGCCATGTTTCACTATTCCATGGAGGCCTCCTTTGTTGTACAATCTCTTAGAAGTTTCTGTTCTGTGGACTTGTTTCTACCTTCCTAAGACTCTCCTAAGCTGACCTATAGATTCCACTTAATGTCATTAAATCCTGTGGCATGTGAACAACTCCAGTATACTGGAAATGTGCAGCTAGCTAGGGTAAAGCAGATTAGACTACGTTATGGGCAGATACTTTGGTTGCTACAGGTTGGACACCTTTTTGCTTTTAAGGAGACTAGAGATCAGCGGTGTTAAGGGCAACACCTCTTGCCAGCATTCATTGAGCTCTGTTGTCCCAGTTCTTCTTTAGGAACAAAGGACGAACTTTAGCTGTTTGCTGCCTTCTGCTATTCTCCTTCTGACTTCTCTTTAGTGTCTGCGGAGGAGTAAGCAGCGAATAGCGGTAGTATGGCTTTTTGTCTGATAGAACTGGTGATTCTAGAAGGAGATGGTTGGGGTATGAAGGTCCTGTATGCCATGGGAGCTGGGGAAGAAAAGCAGGTTTTGAGAGGAGGTAAAATGAGGAAGGAAGAGTCCCATTTTTGTTTCTGCTTCCTGAAATCTTGTTGCTCTCTGAGGATTCCCTCTAGTAGCCGGATCCCTGTCCTGCAAAGCTCACTGTCTCTTGAGTTCAGCTTCATGAGGGGAAAGTCCTGCTTAGCTAACTTAGTTTCCTTTTTTGACAAGATCACCAAACTAGTTGACCAAGGGAAGCCAGCAGATGAGGTTTTTTGGATTTTATCAAAGCTTTTGATACTATCTGTCACAGTATCCTTCTGGACAAAATGTCTACCATACAGCTAGACAAGTCCATAACACATTGAGTAAACAGTTGGCTAATGGGTCATACTCAGAGTTAGAGTAAATAGGGTTCCATCAGGCCAGTGGCCAGTCACTGGTGGAGTTCCCCAGGGCTCTATTTTAGGGCCAGTTTTTGTAAATGATCTGGATGCAGGAATCAAATGTACATTAAGTTTGTCAATGATACTAAACTAACAGGAGCTGTGGACTCTATAGAGGGTAGAGAGGCCTTAGAGAGATCTGGATAGGCTAGAGAGCTGGGCAGTCACCAGCTGTATGAAATTTAACGAAAGTAAGTGTCGCATTCTCCACCTGGGATGGGCTAATCCTGGTTATTGATACAAACTGGGGGATAAGAGGCTGGAGAGCAGCCCTGCAAAAGAGCTCTGGGGGTTTGGGTTGATGGTGAGTTGAATATGAGTCAACAGTGTGCCCTGGGAGCCAGAAGGGCCCACTGTGTCCTGAGATGCATTGAGGACAGCATAGCTAGCTGGTTGACAGAGGTGATTGTCCCAATCTACACTGGTCTGGCCCCACATCAAGTATTGTGTGCAGTTTTGGGTGCCTCAATATACAAAGGACATCAGACTATTAGAGTGTGTCCAGAGGAGGGTGACCAAGATGGTGAAAGGCCGGGAGTGCCAGACTTACAAGAAGTGGCTGAGGTCGCTTGGCTCGTTCAGTTCGGAGAAGAGAAGGCTGAGGGGGGGACCTCCTCACAGTCTACAGCTTCCTCAAGGGGGGCAGTGGAGGAGGAGGTGCTGATCTCCTCTCTCCGGTGACCAGCAACAGGGCATGAGGAAAAGGAATGCAGCTGCGTCAGAGGAAGTTCAGGTTGGGACATTAGGAAAAGGTTCTTCACTGACAGGGTGATCGGTCACTGGAACAGGTTCCTCAGGGAAGTGATCATGGCACCAAGCCTGTTACAGTTCAAGGAGCATCTGGATGATGCTCTTAGTAGTATGATACAGTTCTAGGTAGTCCTTTGAGGAGCATGGAGTTGGACTCCATGATCCTTATGGGTCCCTTCCAATTTGAGATTTTCTGTGGTTCTGTGATCCATCTGGGAAACAGCTGTGACACACACAAGTTACCTTTCCTGCCCTTAAACCTGCTGCACAATCACCACAATATTAAAGTACTGTTGTATTAAAGATATTGAAGTACTCAAACAGTTTTGAACCTGTTTCATATCTTCTTTGTCATGCATCTCCTTCCGTTGTTACCATCTCTCATGGTAAGTTACAGCCTTCCCGGTATGGCTGTTTATGTTGCTACAGTGCTGCCCTGATGCTGATCTAATCAAGGCAACCAGGGTAGAGGCTATACATTGCAAGGAGAAAAATAGTAAACTAGTAAGGGAACAACTTAAATGATCCTCAAATCACTATGCAAGTTGGGTTTTCCACAGAGCAAAAGTAATTTTTTTCCTTTTTTTTTTTTTTTTGGCCAGCTTCCGGTATTTTACCTGTCTTGGGTCACATGGTCTTGCTAGCTGCTGCCAGATCATCTGTGGGGATAAGCTACTTTAAAATAGTTTTGAAATCACATTCTTTAACTTAATAGGGCAGTTTGCAGCTGTTGCTTTTTAGAAATGAAAGTGTGACACTTTCTTGGGGTGAAGGAATGGACCCAAGAAGTAGAATCCTATTATCGCTTGAGTGACTTTTGTCACCATGTTTTTTAAAGTTAACTGCAGCTTGAAAGGAGGGTTTTCTTCTGGCCCCGTAGAAACTTATTCTACTGGTAAATACTCTTTCCAGCTCGAACAATGCAAAGAAGAAATGAGTGGGAACAAAGAATTTTCAACAAATTAAGCTTACTGTAGTCAGAATATTAGGAACATGCAAATTGGGTCTATAACCAGAAATGGCACAAATACTGGTGGCTCCTGTATGTTTCATTCTCCTGTAACTCTGCAGAATATTCAGCGTAAGCAGTGGCTGTACAGGTTATGCAATTTTACTGCTTAAATGAGGTGTAAATGTTTCATAATGAATTTGTCAATGATCCAATGTGCCATCTGTAGTGATGGTTATTTATTATATTATACCTGAATTCAATACCAGCACCTAGGCCTATTAATACCTTTTACAACAGAAGATACAACATTCTTACATTCACAGTGACAAAGAAAATGCTCTAAAGTGACAACAGTAACATTATTTTTTGCATGTGAATTTGAACTTCTTTCAGCCACAGCGGGGGAAGCTCTGCCTCGCAGATGAGCTCCACTGGGCTGATGGATTTATCATTGTTTATGACATCAGTGACAGAGCATCATTTGCCTTTGCAAAAGCATTGCTGTACAGGATCCGGGAGTCTCACATAGGAGCTTGTAAAAAGTAAGTGGCATTATTTTTGTTTCCCTCAGCAAACATATGAAAAAGCTGAGAACATTTCTGTGAACTGTAGGCATCCTAGGAGCAATTAAATTCCACCAGCATCCTAGTGGCATAACACAATACCAACAATAAGCTACCTGAAGGCAAGCTGTGGTGCAAATTGCAGTCTATTTCACTGTATCCAAAGCCAAATACATCAGGTGTTTTGTTCTTATTCCTTACAGTGATACTATTTAAATAACTGCCATAAATCTGTCTACTATAATTTACGTGGGTAAAAAGCTGGCACAGTCAGTCTATGCTTTTACTCCCCCACTCTCTTACCAATGCAGATGCACCAATGTGAGGGTTGAAGAAAGCATTTCCCACAGCAAATGAATCTAATACCGTGAATGTCTTCGAAACTGCCTTTAGCGGTAGCCCAAACATCATTTGTGCACATGGGTGACCGTGTGGTAAGAAACAAACTACTTTCAAAAAGAATCACCCAAATTGCAAGTCTGAGTACATGTGGTGGTGTGTATCCCTGCCTCAGCCAGCTGAGGTGCTTTCTAAATAAATAAGAGTTAAATTATTTCTTTACATCAGAAGTGGAGTAAAAAAAATGAACACTTTTCTGTCTGTTTTATTGCTGACCTTGTTAGTTAAAGTTTCTCTGGAAGGAGTAATTTCAGCGCAAGCTTGGAGTTAGGATTCCTGTGTTTTCTTCTGAATTATGCCACTCACTGATGCATCTCTTTGACTCTATTCCGTTATCTACAAACGGAGATAATGATCAGCTTGCTTCTTTATGAAGTCCAGGGACTGACAATATACTTGGCAGTATAGAGTGAAAACTGCAGTGGATGAAAAATACATGAATTCACTGAGTAGACGAACCACAGTGAAAATTTACTGATAGATAATAGCTTGTCTGGAAAATCCTTTGACATTTGACTATGGCTGATGGAAAACTATAACTTTACCTGGCAAAGTTAGGGGGTTGGTTTGTTCTGTTAGGTTTTTTCACAATTCCTGATATCCTAAACATACATACTTCTCATACACACTGTATATACCACAGCATACAGCATTCAGCATTGTAACATACATACCTTTTCTCTAAATGGAACTGTTTTTTGATTTCAGAGTGGTCGAGTCATCAGTACTTTTGGTTGGTAATAAACAGGATTTGTGCCACATGCGGGAAGTTGGCTGGGATGAAGGGCAGAAGCTGGCAATGGATAACAAGTGCCAATTCTGTGAACTGTCTGCAGCAGAACATTATCAGGAAGTTGTGGCAATGTTCATGAAAGTCCTGAGGAATATCACCTCAAATTTCAAAGCGAAGGAAAAGAGACGACCAAGTGGATCAAAGTCAATGGCCAAGTTAATCAACAATGTGTTTGGAAAGAGAAGGAAATCTGTGTAAGAGATGGCTAGTCTTGAAGTAGGAACAAGCTGAAATACTGGAGAACAGGCAGCTCTTGGGATTCAGACAATTTCCTCCACAGGTCAATGTCTGGAGGAGTAAGACAGTAGAAACTAAAGGTGAGAGATAGTTTGGTCAAATGGACAGGATCTAGACCTAGAAGACCTGACCTTCTATTTCCAGTTCTACTACAGATTTACTGTGTTAGGGCTATGTCACTTAAATTCTAAAATGCTCCTCTCACCCCCTATCTCATAAGTTCTTCAGAGGAGAGTTTTTTGTCTGTGTTTCTTCAACACCAGCATGGTCTTGGGTAGAGCTGCTAGGTGCAACTGAAGTATAACTAGTTATTTCCAATAAACTCAGGCTTGCTGATCAAAATCTTACTTCAGAATTCTGAGAAGTAGTTGGTTTTTTTGTGCAAAAATACTTGCACTAAGGAAAAGCAAAATACTGCTGCTGTATGTGATAACGTATTTGCATTTAACTCAAGGAAGGATGGCTCAGATCCTCATGTGCCTAAAGGTGTTTAACACCTGCTGAAATTCATATAAATTAAATGCTTAGACACCAAATCTACAAAAGGTATCTACCTGCAAAGCTGCCTTGCAGAGGCACCAGAAGGTAGGAAACAGATAAAGCAGTGTTGTCTCCTGTTTCAATTTCTTTTTTTTTTTTTTTTTTTTTTTTCAGTCTTTTAGGAGTGATGAAAGAAAGTAGAGAGGGTTGAGGAGGGTGCGAGCTGAAATGTTAGTGAAATGTTAGTCAGTGAGCATTGGACTGTTTTGGCAATGTCATTTTTTAGTGAAATAATTTTATGGCTGGGGCCAGTGTAAGGCCAGGGTAATATCTCGGACTGATTGTTTCACAGAGCAGTTTCCGTGGCCTGTAACAAAGTTTCCTCACCTGTAAGGTGGATGTACCTGTTCAATTTTAGATGGGAGTGGAAGCTTGGAAAGCACATGGGCTGGTAAAGAGCACAGATTCTTAGGATGTCTGCCTGGATGTAAAGGTCGGCTTGCTGGTAAGACTTGTGCTCCTAACTTGGTTAGTGTGTTTTTCCTGAGGACCAATGTCTTTACAACTAGTCATCGCTATGGCATTGAAATGCCACTTGAGAGAGCACTAAGCAAGATGTTAGCTACACTTCTCAAATGTGGATATTAAATATCAGACAGGTGTAAATATGTTGTCAGTTGACATTCAGAGCTCTTGCTGTAGACATAACCAAATACGGGCTTAGCCCAGCATGTTTGAAAGTGCTGTACTCATACAGAAATAATGAAAGAGAAGTGATCTGAAGGTGAGTTACTCATTCCAGAGGTCAGCTGGGATTCAGTCTTTGTAAGTTTCTGAGCTGAAGCCTACCTCTGCTCTGAAATTTTACCTGCATTGAAACTAGTAAGGTTACTTTATCAGTCACAGCAGAATACTGATTTTTCAAATGTCCACCCCCATAAAATAACAAAAAAGTGATTATAATCTTAGCATTACTGTTGTAAAATAAAGCTAAAGCAGATTTTTAAAAGTGGCGACCAAAGCTCACTTCCTTTTTTAAGGAAAAGACACTGTTTATTTCATTTGTTTTAAGATTACAAGTGCTGAAATATAGTTCTTAGTGTTGACAGGCAGTGTTGCCTGATTTCTATGCAGATGCTACTCTGCTGTATCAGGAGTAGTGTATTTAACTGTATTGTCAGTATCTATGAGGCTGAACTTGAAGACTGCTCGTGTACACCCTTCAGCTCTCCAGCACACATGGAATTCCAGAACTACTGATAATAGGCTCTTAATCTGTTGGGCAGCTGTATCTCACCAGCTCTAGCACTGCCAGATTTGAAAACTCTTACCTGTATTTATTGCTATGTTATTAAATAAACTGGGTGGAAGATGGATGTATCAATGCTTTTGTTGGTCTTTACTATGGTATAAAGCTACAGACGGTTTTTTGGTTGGGTTTTTTTTTTTGACTACTGGAAAAGTGAAGCACCACGCAGATCTGGAATCCAAATTAGGAAAAATATGGGAATCAGGCACTTGTACAAAAGAGAGCCTCCTGCTGTGTTTCCTGTACACCATGAAGAAGCCTTCGTGTACCTTTATATAGTGAACAGTAGAGAACTTTTTAAAAAAATTCTTACCCTTTAAAAATTTGTCCAGACAGCCACAGAGAAGTTAGTTTGTTTTCATGTGCTCATATTAATGGGAATGTGGACTTCCAGACAGGTGGAATCTGCAGTATACCAAATAGTTTTTCCTTCCCTTTTTGTCCAGATGGGGTAAGTATTGGAACACAGAATGGCTGTCTTCTGGCCCACACGCTAGGTTGCACTCATCTGAACAACAGCTGAAACAGCTGCAGGATGCATTTAGACTTGGGTGCACTAAAGTATGCAGTATAGACATCATTTGATGTTAGGGTCAGGATTTCACTTGTGTTTTACTGATGGTTGGTGCAAATGAACAGAGTGCAGAGTTTGGGAAGGAATTAAATTTTAAAGCAGTAAAGCAGATTAATTTCTGTATGTTTCTATGTAGTTTCTGTGTATGTTTCCCTTTCTAAGTGTGTTTTATTAGTATTGTTTTAAAAAAGTGAAGGTCTTTTAAAGAAAAATAAGATACGTAAAAGGCATATATATATATATATATTGCTAAGTGTTCTTGGAGTTCTAACAGTGAAGGTGATACGTTACTGGCTCAGCCACATTTGAAAATGTGAGCAAGAACCCTGCTTGCATAACAAAGTAAATGGTGTAACTGATGTTTGATGCTCACCCCTAACAGTGACATCACCTAGAGCATAGCAGACTCATTGAAGAGAGCGGAAACGGAGGTATTTGTGTTTCCACAGATTGCTTCAGCATATGACCTCATCCTTTCTCAACAAAAGATTTTGAAATTGCTATACAAGAATTAAAAGTTTCTCGCTATCACATCTGGAAGTCCTTGTTTATATGAACTTTATAGTTTCAGTAAAATTTTGCCTGAGAAAGGCACTCAGAATGATCTTCTTTCTCCCTGTCTTCAACTTTTTTTGACTTTAGAAACAGTGACATAAAAGCAAAGAGATTCTCCTAAAGTATAAATGTAATAGCCCCTGGCTCCCAAATGCTGTCTCTCAGAGAGCTTTCAGGTGGTTTTTGAAGCTTTTTCTGACTATAGTTTTGAAATAAACAAGACAAACACAACCTCAGCTCCTCTTCCTGCTGTCATGGCTGTATGCGTTAAACTCTTTCTTTTCGTAAATCCCACTATAGTGACATTCACAACAGGGCAGAGGGGAAAACATCACAGAAAAGCTTAAAGCATGATATTCCTGGAAGAAGGAATAATAAAAAGCGTATTACTGAGTAGACCAACCAAACATCCTGTTTCTTTCTAATATATTTAAATAAGAATAGCAATAAAAAGGTGGCTCAGAAGTTCTGATGCCGTGCTATACTCTGAGGACAAAAGTAACTATCATAGTTTTTTTAGTCCATTGCTAAAAGCTGATTTCTGAAGCGATGGAAGGGTGAACATTGAAGTTCAAAGACCTTGTGAGTCATACAGGGACAGTCTTGCTGCTTTCCTTTCTGTCTGACTACACCGCTTTGAAGATGGTGCACCAGCAGATGTTTGGAGATAACTGATCCTGGCATTCTGTCCGTCTGGGAGGCAGAGAGAGGGATGGATGCTGTGGCTATCAGCCTGAGCAGGTATGGTGCTCTCACAGTTGGGTCCATATCACTCTGGTATTTTCAGAGAGTACACTATAAAGAAGAGGGTATACCACTCAAAGCGAAACTAAAGTGCAGTACGTATCCAAGAATATGCTGATTTTCCATCAGAATGCCTGTTGGAGCAGGTGCTTTAGGTTAATGAAGTTTTCATACAGGTCCACTTTGCTTATGGATAGAGGAACAAACTCAGGCTCTTAATAAGCTTGAAAGGAATCCTTGCCTATCCGCTCTGAAGCAAGAAATACATAAAAAAAAAAAAAGTCAGACTACCAAACTATAGAATACTCCAGAGCAATATTAAACTGTACTCTCCATTAAAAAAATGAACCCTCCTCCTCCTTAAACCCATCCACAGGAACAGAGGCCTCTTCATAGCCTTAACCTGCCCATGGGGAATAAAAACAAGGGGGAGCTAAATTTTGATGTGCTGTTCAGCCAGTTTGAAAAGCAAATCCTTTGTTTACATGTTTATATGTGGATCTGGGCATCTCACTGTCAACTTCTATTGTTTTAAAACTTGGGTTTGATTTTTCCATAAAGAGGCAGTGCTGCAAACACCGAAGTGTTTGGGGTTTTTTTTCCCTCCACAATTATATGAGACAGGCAGGCTATTCTGGGTAGGAAGTTATTTTTAAACAGACATTACTCTTTTCCAGAAACAGACTGTAAGTTTCTGTCTCCTTTTAATTGCTTTACAAAGTAAATTGAGTCCCTCTGGTTATATAATTAATATCCACGTTTAGCCCTATATATTTGACATGACTTGAGCCATTTACTACTCCATTCAATTTTTAAGACTGGCTAGGAGTTCAGATACGTGGTTAATTTCTGCTGAACTGTAAAACACCCACAGTTTTTCCAGCGGAGAAGGAAGTACTACAAGGAGACAAGTGGAAAATGGAGCTGTTACCACAGGGCTTGAGCCAAGTGATTTCAGCAGGTCTGTCCCCTCGTGCGCTGCTGTGGTCGCATTCAGCAGCAAAATGGCACTGTCTCTATCTGGCATAACATTTACATTTACTAGTTGAAATAAATAGAAAGGAAGCAGAAATGAAAACATTTGACCTTAAAATTACAGGCATTGTGGTATCTAGCAAAGATTTCGTTTTTAATAGACACAACGTTTTAAACCAGCTTCACACAGGTTTTTGGGAGTGTTTTTTTTTTCTCAAAAGCGAGTTCTAACTTTTCAGGCGAGTTCCCTCCCAGAAGGAACTTTATTTTAAAGATGCTGGGAGCCTCGGAAAGTCGAATAATCTTTTGCTGGCTGCCTTGCAGGAGTGACCGGCTGGCGGACGGGGAGCAAAGCCAGGACGTTGACGCTTCCGCCCTCGCGTGGCCTTTTCCTCGCCTCTCACCCCCTCGGCGAGCAGCGGGGCCTCTCGGCTCCTCCTCGGGCTCAAACGTCGCTGCTGGGAAACCCAACAACGCCGAGCACCAAGCACGGGTAAAAACCCCCGCGCCTTCTGATACTATAAAGTTCTGCTATCGATCAGGCTGGGCTCAACAATGTGAGATTTCATAGGCTTCATCTGACAGCATCGTTACGAACAAAACTGCACATGTTGCTACGGTTTTTCTCCCGACTGATGCTTCTGAGCTCAGCTGTTTCACTGAAATAAAGTTCAGCTATCTCGTCTCGGATGCTGAAA